TGCTACTTTCAATGTAGCTGACCTATCTCCTTACTATGAGGATCATGAGCAATGAACTCAAACTCGAGGACGAGTTTTCTCCAACCAGGGGAGAATGCACCGGGAGAAAGTACCTACAAGCATGCAGAAGCTACTCTTCAACACCATAATAGGTTGGCAACTTTGTCAACATAGCCATTAATTCCAACTGCTAACTCCCAACTGCATTTTACTTTTCATTTATTGCCTTTCAGTAGATTTTGCCTATAAATAGCCATGCTCTCACCATTGTATGCATAAGTTTTATCAGTTAATGAAGTTTCAATTCTCCTCTGTTTTGAGTTGAGTTTCTTGAGAGTGGATTCTCTCAATTTATCTCTGTATCTTAGGTCTTGCCAACCTAAGTGGTGAACCTAGCAATCGAGTTCATCGTAGTGGGATTCTAAATCTCGCCAAAATTGGTGTTTCGGTATCAGCTCCTACGCCACTTTAATTAATGTTTTTTTAAACAAAATGAATTAATGAGAGCACAAAACTTTAATTACTATTAGTAGGATTGATTGAATTGAATTATCCAAAAAAATTCAGAGGAATTTTTCATATTGATTCGTTCTACTATTATTCTAATTTTGATTAATTTGATCAATAATGTTGTCAATTATGTATTGATGCTGTTATCACTAAAATGCAACAATTGAAAAAAGGGAAAATTCTTTATCATAAATTTATTAGATTCTTCTTCATTACTTAGTATAGACTTAATTTTAAATTTTATATAAGTAAAAATTTTCTAACAAAACTCATTATAAATATGTCAAGAATATTTATAATGTCTATAATACTAATGTATTTGCTACTAATAAAAATATTAGTATAGGATGAGCTATGAGAAGGCAAAAACATTCATAATAAGTCAAGGACACATGGAAATTCATTAATAGTAGTTTTTTTAGTAAACAAAATCAAAAAATATATTGAAAAGAATGTGCATTTACAAGAACTTGAATATAGGAAAAAATTATAGAAATTTTATAATTATTAGAACTTTAAAAAAAAATCATAGATAAATCAAATATATTAAAAAAAATACAGCTCTTATTTCATTTCTTCATTGGGATCATTCTACATTGGGAGTGCTATTTCATTTCCTTTTGCCATTCTCTTATTTCTTTTCGCTCTTCATTTTGTGTATGAGAAGCTCTTGACCTTCCAAAATCACAGCTTTCATCTATTGGTTCTTGATTAATTGGATCATTAGAATTTATAAAATCATGAAGGAAAACTGTACAAGGAGTAAGAGGCTAGAGTAAGCATGGCAAGTTTTACATGGAAGATCAACAAAACTTAAATTTTTTAAGAATTATACTGAAATGCAATAAGAGTACGTGAAAAAAAGTTCCAAATCCTGAAATTTCTATCTGATGAAAGACATCAATAGTAGTCGCGAACAGAAAGAACTAAATGTTATTAACCCAATGCTAGGGATCAAATATATTATTCAATTTTAAATATTTAATCACTAATAAGACTGATTCTCTCAATATTAATTTTGTCCACTCAAGCTAAATATGATTCTACCAACTTACCGAAAAAGGCACGAACACTTAACACTAGTGAAGGATGAGAGGGCCATTAAAAAACTGAATAAACTACTAAGAGACCATTGAAAATCACTCAAACTCTCAAAACTTAAATTGACCCCAATGGTGCCATGATCATCAATCAAAAGTATTTCGTCCCCTAAAAACAAGGAAGCTTGTTTGGCATGGAAATTGCCCAATTTATTTATTTATTTTCTTAATAAATATGTTACCACAATGAAAAAAGAAAAAGAAAAAATAGGACCACTGGATTGAATATCAGTAGAAAAAGGTGGAACCTACCTTTCTGACTACTACGCGTGAGATTGTCCCTCCGAAGATCGTGGCATTGAAGTCAGAGAAGCACGAAAATTTTAATATCTTTCTCTTAAGTTCTACAAATTGGTATTAGAGCTTATAATTCTTGAGGGATTTGTGAGAAACTTTAGAGAGGTGAGAAAGTGAAACACGAGTAACAAGAGAGGGAGAGAATTATTGTTCTTCTGTAGCTTTCCAAAATCTTCTTCAACAAATTCATGTTTTGCCCATGAATGCTTGACTGTTAGAATGAAAGCTTTCCTCAAAGAGAATGATGTCTGGGATGTCATGAGCATGGTTTCCAACTTCTTTTTCCACAGGACAACCCAACAGTGGCACAAATGAAAAGAAAAATAGGGTATGAGGCAGGTACACATAAAGCACTTCGTGTATGCATAGTACAGTGACAAATGATATTTTCTCTAAGATTGTGTCTTGTAAGATGCACGGGATGCATGGGAAGCGCTTAAAGAAGAGTATAGCGGAATTGCTAGAGACAAGAGTGTGACACTGTTAGCTGTCAAATGACAGTTTGAAATATTGAAGATGAAAGAAACTGATACAATACATCAGTATTCTTCAAAATTGGTTGATTTAGTCACTCAAATTAGATCCAGAGAATTCAACAACACTGAACTGCAGAAGCAGCAACAGTCGCCGCATCTTCTCCCTCTGTTCTTCAAAGGCTTCAATCTATGAAGTTTTACAATCATAGATCTCAAGAGCCAATTACTGCTTTTGAGAAATCTCCCCATCTGGGCGTATATTCCCATTCCGCTTTTCAGCAGACGCCGAAGCCGGAGAAGAAACAGGGTGCTTTCCTGTCTAGATCTCAGCCTATGTTGCAGAGGCTTAAGTCGATTAACTTCCATGGCTACTTATCTCAACCCCAGAAACCGACAACCATTACCCGCCGGAGCAAACCCGCAAGCAAGAACAACCCCAATTTGAAGAAGAAGAAAAGGAAGAACAGGAAGAACAGGAAGAGAGGGAGCAAATCCAAGAACAGAGCCTCGACGAGGTGTATAGTAAGCTGAAGCAAAACCACATTACGAGGATCAAATCTGACACCAAATCGGAGTCCGGGTAGATACGCACCAACCTGCCTCGTAAGATGAGGATATCGGCGAGCACCAAGTCTGCGTTCGCACATTTTGAGGAAGAAGAAATAGTTGAGTCTCACCGGCCCTTCAACCACGAGAGAAGTTAAACTTTAAGAAGAGATTGATGATGAGGTAGATACCAAAGCCGAAGATTTCATCAGCAGGGTCATGAACCAACTGAAGTTGCAGAGGATTGATTCGATTCTCGGGTGCAGGAGTTAATCCGTGGAGGGAGCGCAAAATGAATCAAAGTCAATTAAAATCCATTAAATTATTTCTAATCTTACTTTTTTCATTAATTTGAGGGGGTTCATTGTATTTAATTTAGTTTTGGATTTTTTTTTCTCATGTTTGTTGAACTTTTTGTCCAAAAATATGCCATTAATTATCATTTTCCAAACCTTCATATTTCCCTGGTGTTTTTTTTTATTTCTTCAAGCCGTCATTTTTCATTTTATAGGCATAGATGTAGTGGGTAAATAATTAATTTAAAAATTTTTTTGGATGCTTAATTTAAGAATATTTTAATAAATTTAAGAATATTTTAATAAATTTAACATATTTTTAATACTTTATTATAAAAATTTGTGAAACTAAGATTGCTCTTATAATCCTCGTTCATTTTATTTAAAACATAATTAATTTTCATATTAAAACTTAATTTTTTTAAAAATACAGAGTTTATAAAGTAAAAAAATAATTATTACAAAATAATCTCAAACAGGAAAGAAATAAAAAAAGTTGTAGATAAGTGGAAAAAGATATAAAGTAAAAGGCATTTACAAAATAGTTAAAAATTTTACAAAAATTACATCAATTATCATTATTTAACTAAAATTTTTACCTACTAAAATACTTTTAAAGATGAAAGTATTTATAAAATTATCACAAAGTCAAACTTAATTTTATAGAGACAAAAAAATACAAGAAAGAGAGAGAGCACTACATACATGACGTGATTCATACTTTAAAATAATGTGGGTTCAAATTATGCAAATTAATAAACTCATTTGTTTATAATATTAAATTTAAAATAAAAGAATGAAAATGTTATTAAAAAAAAAACCCTCAGGGCAGCCAGATTCCGATTGAATGTTATAATTTTTTGCAACTTGTCGGCTTTAGCCCTTAGAGGAGAGTGTTAAGCCACTGCTAGAGGGCCCTAGCACTCCTCAACTGACCTTACAATTAAACGCACAAAAAGGGCAAGACTTTTGCGTGAGGAAGCTGCAAAAGAGTTTCCCCACCATATTCAACACGATTAATTGAACAGTTTGATATTGATGAAATATTTATTGTTCAACCATAGTCAATTCCCTTATTCAGTTCTTTCCAACAGTCTCACCAAACCCATCGGAAGATGAGGAATCTATTGGAAGCTCTCAAGATGCATCTCCACAAAAACGCACAGACTGGTATGCAATCCTTCATTCTGTTTGCCCAGTTAGCTCTGTTTACTGTGACAATGTTTATGCTGGAAACCGACTTATACGCAAAATATGATGGCATGGGAATCGAAACGCTGTTGTTGTACCAGATCTCCGCCATCCTGGTATCTAATTCGAGGCGTTTGAGTCAACTTAGATTCATCCGTAGAAGGTGTAGCTCCAAGGTAAACTCAATAGCAAATATCACCTGCTTGATTTTAGCAATTCTTTTTGAGAAATTTTATGAGAAATCGTTGAGTAGTCTGTGTTTCGCCGTTAGCATCGCTGTTTTGTTTCTAATCCTACTGCTCATAATACGACCCTCCACCGACCTTGGGTTCTTTGGTTTTCTGATTGGAGTAATTGGATCGGTGGCCTACGGTCTCTATGGATTGAAATTTGGAACTTGGATAGTTGTAGGTATTTGTTTTCCTACTGGGTTTTAAGTCCTGGTTAGATAAGAATTGGTTGGAGGTCGAACAAGATCACTCACTGCCCAGTACTAGCGCTACCAGTAGTACCC